TATTTACAAAAAATAGCTGGGAGCCAGCAGCACTTTCCCTCTTCACTGCAGCAGCAAATCAGTGCTGAGATTTGACAGAAGTGGCCNGCAGCAAATCAGTGCTGAGATTTGACAGAAGTGGCCACTCGTGTGTTCTCTGGTCACTTTTCCACCACTTTGGATTCAAGGTCACCAACAAAGTCACAACACAGCTAGTCATCACCAGTGGATCGAGTTAGCTTTCTAGTCATCAAAATCATCGGACCAAACACCAGAACACCATGCTGTGTGATCTACTAAAGTCGGCCGTCGAGGGCGATAACATCTACCTCTTTGTGCCCAACCTGATCGGCTACGCTCGCATCATCCTGGCGCTGCTCTCCTTCTACACCATGCCCTACTACCCCACGCCGACGTTGATCTTCTACTTTTTGTCCGCCTTTCTGGACGTCTTTGACGGCTACGCCGCCCGCTACCTGAACCAGTCGACCAAGTTTGGCGCCCTGCTCGACCAGCTGACGGACCGCATTGGAACGCTGTGCTTGATTTTTGTAAGTTGTTGAGGCTCGCTCATTTTGGACCACTATCTAACGACTTTGACTACACTTGGCAACACCAGGTTCTGGGCTACTTCTACCCGAAGTACATGTTCTGGTTCCAGCTGTCGGTTGCCATTGACATTGCTAGCCACTGGATTCACACGCAGGTCTCCCTGATGACGGGCAAGACCAGCCACAAGACGATTGACCTGAATGAGAATCCCATTCTGCGACTGTACTACACCAATCGCATCGTGCTCTTCTCCTTCTGCTTCGCCAATGAAGTCTTCTACTTTGCGCTCTACATGCTCTACTTCTACGAGGGACCGATTGGTAAGTGTGCTCGCTGTAACCTCCCAGGTATTTATGCACTTTTGTGTTCTTACAATCGTTTTGTATATCGTTCAGTGATCGGCAGCGTGGGCTTCTGGCGACTGTGCGTCTACCTCTCCGGTCCAGTGTCGGCGGCAAAGACGGTGATCAGCGTCATTCAGATGGTGGCTGCCTGCATGAACTGCAAAGAAATCGACATGGCAGAGCGTCGCGCGGCGGCTGCAGCGGCAAAGGCCGCCAAGGCCAACTAAAGCAGCAGCAACATTCATCGTCGTCATTCATCATCAGTCACTGTCTGACGACAAACTCTGCAGCAACAGCAGCAGTTTCACGTCTCATAAAACCGTCTCGACACTAAATCTCGCGCACATATGTCATCAACTGCAGCGCCGATATTTGAGTATCTTTTGGGTACTTTCTTCGTTCTTATTTGTTCATCTCTTTCTTTGAACGCGGCACATCACACGTCACACGTCACACACACTCACGCAAAGGACTCACATCACTTGTTGTTGTTGTTGATTTATGTTCTATCAAAGATTTATTTTTAAAGGGGCTGCAAGAATTGCCACAAGTTGACAAATTGTATGCGTTCAAAGGGAGTTCATTGATCAGGCACTGCACACTGTTTTTAACCTGCGCTCCTACACATATTCACACATTTTGAAATGCTGTCAAATCGATCAGAAATGTCAGTGACATTTAGTAGACGTAGTAGAAACAAAGTAGAAGCAGACTTAGACGACTTTTGTTATTAATGTCGTTGATGTGTAGCAATTCAACTGGACGAAACGTTGCAAAACAACTATAGCTATCGTACCAACATTTTAGTAAGCCAAAAGAACAAAAAAACTGCAAAACAGCTTGTAAAAAAGAAGTTGTGTGCTTGTTCTTGTATTTGATGCAGATGCTATTCGGCGGGGGAGTGTTTTAGGAACTTCTAAAAGGAATCACAAAAAAATCTTGAACTCTCTACAGGTAAATGCGCACTCGCAGGTGCAGGTCCTCTTCTGATTTGCCGCCCAGTGTGCCAATTTCAATTTGGGAGTTTGTGCCACTAAAAGAGGACTGCTGCTGACTGCTCTCTTCCGATTTTGCCTGTTTCGCCCGTCGCTGTCTGCGCGACTCCTCGGTGCTGGTCAGGTGGACAAACTCCCGAATGCCGCAGGCGGGATTGCGCTCAATTGGCTTCTGAAAGGACTCCTTTGAGCACTGGCCACTGGCCACCTGTTGGGCGGGGATGACCAACGTCGCACTGGTTCGTTTGCTCTCTCCTTTTGGAGGAGGTGGTGGTGGATGTGGAGCTGGTGTGTCTGCAGTGTACATCTGACCACTGCTCAGCGGAGGGTCGGTGGTGGTTGAGGCAGAAGTTTGAGGCTCTCCAGCTGCCGCCCCCGCCGCCGGCAGGTTCTTGTACCCGACAATGGACAGCTCGTAGGCGCTGCTGAAGGGCCACTCGAGGAAGCGGTCGTACTCGCCCTCGATGATGACCAGCTCCAGGCCGAAGACGAGCACGTCCTGGGTGGAGGGCCCCATTCGAGAGGAGCGGCTGCTGTACACTGAGGAGGCATTCAAGTCAGTGTAGGGATTGCCGCTCGGCTTTAAGAAGATTGTCGTCTGGTTGCCAAGGCTTAGAGGTTCAATGGTGGACGAGGATGGTTCACTTTCAGCTGGGGAAGATGTTGTTGTTTCTAAAGGAGATGGACTGCTACTCTGAGATGGATTGAGCGGAACACTTCTCACGGTGACCGTCAGCTGCAGCTGACAGAGGTAGCCCTGGCCGTTGGTGTAGAACTCGTCGCTGACAAACTTGTGCGAGGCTCGCGTGGCGCTGGAGGCGGAGGAGGTGGGCGAACTGGCGCCCCTCGGCACGTCGTACGACTCCTGAATGTAGCGTTCAAAACGGGCGACCAGCCCGGGAATGAGCCAGTTGAACTCGGAGACTAGGCGGCCGTTTCCGGCCAGGCCAATGCTGGCCCTCTGGCGGGCAGAGTATCGGGTGAAGCGGGTGGTGAAGCGAATCTTCAGCGTGTCATTGATGAGGAAGTTGTAGTGGGTGAGGGAGAGCACCTGCAGCGACTGGATGGTGAGGAAGCAGAACTCGGGCTGCTGGCCGGGCTGGCCGAAGGACTCGGTGCCGCAGTCGGATTTGGAGGGCTGCACCTTTACGGTCAGGTCGCGTTTCCAGTAATCTAAATCGGTTAGATTTTTTTTAAATTTGGCTTCATTAGCTCATTTTCCTCCTTTCCCCTCTTACCTGGACTCTGGTCGACGATGGCCATTTCGAAGGCGTACGGAAATGGCCACTGCAGATACCGGTCGTGGTCCCCTTGAACAAAGGCAATTGAAATGGCAAAGGCGGACCGCTTGGGGAGCACCGTCAGAAAGAGCTGCAGGAGGTAGCCGTTTTGGTGCGTGTAGAAGGGGCTGCTGGTGAGGATGGCGATCCGCCCTCGTTCGGTTGCTTCCTTTTCCCTCCGGCTGAAGCCCTCGATGGTCCACTCGAAGTTGGAGACGAGGTCGTTGTAGCGCATGCCCATCACCGCCTGGCTGAAGTGCAGGCTGGCGGCGTCGCGGTTCACCTCACTGAGGTGGACGGTGACCAGCACCAGGAGGGTGTCGTCGGTGGTGAAGCTGTGAGGGTGATTACCTTCACCCCTCGAAGAGTTGACCATCAGCGCGGAGAGTGGCATGTGTCGGCGGTTGCCGCAGCCGTCAGTGTTCGCCCCGGTGTCCGAGTCTGAGTTTGGGCGGAGGAAGGCAGATCGGAGGCGGCACTCGTCGATGTTCGGCACGACGGTGTGGTTCCACTCGGAAAAGAGAATCGGCGAATCGAGCAGGGTTTCAGAGGAGGAAGAGGAGGTGCCATTTTCTCCCGTTCTCGTTGTGGCCGCCGTCAGCTGATCGTGCTCGAGAATGCTGAGCACCGTTCGGTACTTGTACGGCCACTCGAGCTGGCCGTCGTGGTCGCCGGCGACGATGCGAAAGAAGACGCCCAGGTAGCTGATGTTGTCCACGTAGGTGGTGTTGGTCACCAGCAGCAGCTGCAGGCGGTAGCCCATGTTGGGAAGGGGAGTTTTTAAAGAGTCGGTGTTTAGGTAGAAGCGAGGCGAGAAGAGCAGCTCCTGGCCGGCGTTGCTGATGCTGCTGAAGTTGTAGACGCGCCAGAGAAATTGAACTACCGGGGCCTGGGTGGGAGATGATGCTGCTGCTGCTGGGGGTGATATTGGAGAGGGGTGGGCTGGGCTAGAGGATGATGAAGATGACGAGGAAAAGGTTGAAGAAGGCCTCGCTTTGGCGGGCAACTCAAAAACGGTTCCATCCTCGCCGAGGTCGCTCTCGAAGACGTTGATGCCAGCGCCAGCGCCGGCGGCGGTTCGTTGGTCAACGACTGCAGCGTTGACCAGCGACAGACTGCCGGCTCGGTCTGCTTCGAGAGTTGCTGAAGATGGAGAAACTACCCTCAACTGTTGCACCTCGCCCCATCCTTTTGGGAGGTGGTTTTCGTGGGTGTGCAGCGACTGGGCGGCAGTACAAAAGAGGAGAAGGAGAATGGAAAGGAGATGTGTTCCAAGAAAAAATTTCCCGTTTTCGTAGAGGGTTTCTTTTCTTNCTCGCCCCATCCTTTTGGGAGGTGGTTTTCGTGGGTGTGCAGCGATTGGGCGGCAGTACAAAAGAGGAGAAGGAGAATGGAAAGGAGATGTGTTCCAAGAAAAAATTTCCCGTTTCTGTAGAGGGTTTCTTTTCTCGTTGTCCTGGCGGTGGTGTCCATTGTGTCCATCGTTCCTCTGTGTGTGAATGTGATGTGCCAGTGTCTGTCTGCAAGTCTGTCCGGCTTTTCCAGCAGCAGCCTCACTGAATCACCCTCACTCTACCTTCGCTTTCGATAGTGGTGGCAATCGTAACCAGTTTGTTGCCCTGTATGTGCCGTAGATGGACATACACTCTCTCTTCTCACCACCACTTAACCTTTACCTTCACCTTCACACTGCTTCTACTGCCACTCAAGCTACCCTCACCTGATGTTTGGCTGTGAATCGGTCACACCTGTTCACTGTTTTTCTGCCCCAAAGTTAACCCTAATAAAAAGAAGAAGAGTGTGTGTGCTCCCGCCGGCAAACGAGTTTTCCTGTTTAGTTTCGGCCACCTTTATTCGGCGTTGATGATGATGGCGGCGAGTNCTTTTATTCGGCGTTGATGATGATAGCGGCGAGTGCATTGAAAGTGAATCCGAGCGAGACAGACACTCTCCTGTGTGTGTGTGCTGTCCAGTCTGCTGCTGTCCACCAGTCCAAATGATCTGCTGCTGTTGCTGCTTTTGATGTGCTCTCCCTTTCTCGTTTGGTGGCTGGCAGTCAGCCATCAAATGTCAAGTGCATTCACCCCGCTCAAGTACCTCACACTGCTGCTGATGTTGCTGCTGTGGCAGCTGAACTCGCTGCTAAACGGTCGTCTCTGAGTTGACCTTTCTCTCCCTCTCGATGTGTTTGCCAATTTGGTAGTGAGCCTCGGTGTGAAAATGTGGTCGGGGGTTTGCGTGACAAAAACAGACAAACAGCCGCCGGTGACGC